TGGTGGGGGGAAAATGGAGACAACTGTACTTGAACAACAATAAAAAATTTTTTAAAAAGAAAATTAAGCCTTTGAAATTTTTAGGAAAAACAAGACTCCTCCCAACCCTGCCCCAAATGTATCCCTGCTCAACACATCACCTGTAAGAGCCAAGGTACTGAGTTCCACAGCACCAGCCTGAAAGTTTCAAAGTAGCTAGGACATGGAGAAAGTTCACAGAACTCAATAGAGGGATGACTGCAAAGGTATTTTCTTCCTTTAACTTCTGCAACCCTCACTTTTGGAGGGAGCACTCTGTAGGCAACCATAGGGGACCTCTCATTACATTTTTATGCTGCACTCAGAAAGCTACCTGCCTGCTATACCATATTAGCAAAAGTCCAATTTAAAATTCAAACAATACCCTAGAGGCAAAGGCTAGTCACAGCTGTAACCCGGGCTGATGTTCTCTTGACAAAACAACCTGACCTCCAAAGTCAACCCAACGCCTGAACAACAAAAGTGCACTAACAGAGAGTGAGGGAACCTGGGTCAGGCTCCTCCTGCATATTGGGTACCTATGGAAATCTCAGTTAATTTTTTTTAAAACATCAGTGTCTTTATCTGATAAACAGCAATAATGATTCTCTACCTCAAATGAATCAACAACATCTATCTGCTCAGCCCAGTGATTCAGATGCAAGAATGTTTTGCTCAGGGAAGGATCTCGGAGCAGTAAGCAACTTTACTAAGGTAAGGTGGCATTTTCCTCCCATTTCAATTCTTCTAGATGGAGAAATGTACCATGCATGCCCTTTTCTGAATATTTCAGTTCACAGCTTTGCAACTCTGGATCTAGAGGTGCTTTGCCACGTGCAGAAATGGAGATCAATGTGATGCAAGTGGATAAAGACAAATCACAGGTGGTACTGGTTCCACTAACCTGCTCCACCTAAATAAGTCCTTATGGTCCCAATCTGAAGTTAGCATTCTCTTTGGGCTGCAGAATTTTGACAGGAGCCAAGTCTTCCCATGAAGGGACCACAGGGGTGAGACCTGCTGTTCTGGCACCACCTCCTACCCTGTGGAAACATTGCTAGAGGAGGTCTGACAGAGGAAGCAGGACCTTCTGAAACTAAGGGTTGGTTACCAGGAAGGAGGGAGGCTTGGGTGAAATTCTCCCAGGAGAATTTCATGGGTCAAAATCAGCCTTGACCATCTGGAGCGATCCTGGACTGACAAGCCTGGGACTAGTGGCAGGTCTGCACCTGGAGTAAAAATGGGTTATGGATGATTTTTCTAAATCATTTTCGACCCCTTTATGGTACATTTTTCTTCCTAGTTCATGAAACCCAAAACAAACCCCTCTCCTTGCGCGCATGCACACACACACACACACACACACACACACACACACACGTTTGAAAAGCAGACTCTTGGCGCTCCCCACTAGAGGGGGTGGCCATTTCGTCCCTACTTCCCCACAGAAACTAGTTTGTCTCTGTGCATGTTTTTTCTCACATGTTTTTCGTCGAGCCATCCACAGTGTTCTGTGGTCACTGCTGGCCGGGGACCCATGCATCAGCTGGCACCCAACGTGGGGCAGTGATTCGGGACCACAGAAGTGTGGGACCCCGTTCGAGACCACTTGGAACCAGCAGCTACGAGCCATCGCTGTGGACAACGCATCAACTTCGGGTGGATTTGCGCGCTAACAGCCCAGTTGAATCAGCACTGGACTGGATTGGAGAACTCCAGGACGCACTCATGACTCGTCAGCACCTAACTTGTGACCCTGGTTTCTCCAGACTGTGCGTCACACCACTACAATGGAATTCCAGCCAACATACTTGGACTGATATACACCATCGCTTGAGGGGAGCTTTCTCCACTAACTTAAAAGGACAAATTGATAAATTGCAGTTGGAGTTACATCAGCAGCTGCAGGACATTCAACATTTAACCAAACAGGACATTTTTCAAGCCCTTAATGAAAATATTAGTTGGCTGAATCCTAAAACATGGTTTGATGGAATTTGAGAATTTGGGGTTTTGGAGCTGCTGGTTGTTTACTGATTGTAATATTGATTTGTGTACTTCGGTGTATCTGCAAATTGTTTTCCCAGGGTCGTATCAGAGACCAGCAAGTAGCCACCTTTATGGAACCCTTAGCAGTCCTAACTGAAAACAAGGGAGAAGGTATGAAAAACCATTCTGGCAGGCGTAATATTAAAACTCAACACCCACATAAGAAAGCAGGTGATGAGTCGGTGCACAGAACTGCACCTGTTAAGAAATCCTCTCGTAAGAAGTCAGGCTTGCATTATGCTCAAACTGCCTTGTGATTTGCCTTTCCTGATATCTATGTAATTTCTCACAAAGATTGAAATGTAATCAGACCTAATACTTTTGTTTTTCCCTTAATATGTTTTCTTGCACTGAATTTAGAAATTTAGGTATTCACAATCCATAGAATTTAGTTTTTGCTTTAATTTCTATTATTGCCTTATGATGTATATAGATGTTGCTTTTCTTCTGATTTGCATTCGAAAACAGCAAAAGTAGATTTCACAGCCTTAACAACCACAATTGATTTTAAAAACTAAAAAAGGGGGAGATGTTGGGAACCACCCTGACTGGTATCAGAAGCTGAAACCCCCGCCTAGGCTAAGGCTAAGGGAACGCCCTTGGAACCCTAAGCCAGCAAGGAGACAAAAGCTTATCTCCCTGGCAGGAATGCTGCTTCTGCTGCTTTATTCATAACTGAACCCCAAAAAGCTTGGTCAGTTAGCCAAAGACGGGTAAGTTTCCCCAAGGGGGGAACGACCTAAGACAGGCACGATCACTTTGGGAGGCCCCCCAAAAGAAGGACTTGGGGGGCTGCAGCAAAAGGGGGTAATGGACCCTCGCTCCTGGGCCCTCGCTCCTGGACCCTCGCTTTGACATAGCCAGAGTTCTCATCCTCTGGGAGGAAATCTCCTTATCTCTTGGTTGCCTTAGTTCCCTTGCTCCACCTAAACCTGAAACAATGACAGGGTGGTGCAGCTCTGTGCTGAAAAGGGCGGATTCCCCGGGTGATCAGACCTAAGAAAGAATATGTTAATTACTGTGAAACCTGCTTTGTTTAGAATGCTCTCAGTTGAATGAGAAAGGTCCAAGGAGGAAGTTAGTTTGTTCCTCAAAGTCTTACAGCTCTTTGACCCCAACTCAAAATAGACTGGCAGAGTTCCTTGTTTTCCATAGTTCCTTACTTCCCCCTAATGAGTACTGTACTTTACCTGAATTATTATGCAAAATGAGCCCAATAAAAGCAAGTATGGACAGTAAATTGGTGCGCTCCCCACTGGGGGGGGGTGGCCATTTTGTTACAGAACAGAACAAGGGGGGCCTGGGACAATATACTATTATTTAAAAGGTCCCCAGGTCCGTCATGTCTGCCGCCTGAGGAAAGACGTCTCTCAATGCCAGAGATTCATGAAAAGGAAAGGAAATGTTTATTTAATGCTATACAGACTTAAAGTAGTGACCTAATGTCTTTATCAAAAATCCCAAAGTCCCCCAAAACACCCACAAACAGACACAGTCCTTCCTTCCTTCCCCCTTTGCCCAGTCCAGAGTACCGTATTTCAGGGAAGGAAAATGAAGTCCATGGCTCAGACAGTCCTCTGGTTCTTAGTTAGTCCTCCTCGACTGGGAGACCTCCCTGGGTTCCCGGCACCCTCGGCTGAGTCGCCAGGATCTCTGCTAAAACCAGGTGGTGGTTCCCCCTTCTAAAGCTGCAGGGGTCCCCGCTCTGTCCAGGCTTCGTGGTTCTCTCTCTCTGGGATGCAGGAGTCTCCACTCCGTCAAAGCCGCGTGGTTCTCTCTCCTATGGCTGCAGGAAGGGAGAGTCCTCACTCTGCCAAAGCCGCGTGGTTCTCTCTCCTAAAGGCTGCCAAGTCTGGGTTTTAAATCCCTGTGGCCAATCTTCCTCTGCAGCCTCATTTCCGACTCCTCCCACACTCGGCTTCACATGCCGGAACTCGTATCCTTCCAGCTTTACTGGGCTGCCATCTTGAGTCTGGGCAGGTGTGGCCCCATGTCCTGGAGCCATCTTCTCCGAGCTCCCATGAAGGCTCTGTGGCTTGGTGGGGGGGGATCTGCTCCAGTCACGTGTTGGTGGGGAAGTTACTTCCATTCCCCTGGCTCAGAGATGATCACAGTTATTTAACATATAGAAGCGACCAGCCAAAGGCTATAGATATGTTAAATGACCACGCCAGAGGGTAGCTGCAAGGCTGTTGCTATGCAAAACAGATCTCAATGGCCTTGCTCCATTTGTCCCTTCCCTCAACCCACACCCTGGGTGGGGGGTTGGAGACATCTTAAATCTCCTGGACACCTTAAGTTCTGGACCCCATTTCAAATGCCCATTTGGGGTCCCCCCTCTTGGCTGCACCCTGTAACAATTTCGTCCCTACTTCCCCACAGGAAAAAAAAAAAAAAAAAAAGAAAAGCACACTCTTGGGAGTTTGTCCTCCCTGGGCTCTGGCTCCCCTCTACCTACTTCCCTGGCCATGATTGTTCCAGTCCCCCATTCCCTCTGGCAGCCAATCTTGTTTCCTTTCGATTCCAACTGTGGTGGGCCAGCAATTCTAGGACAACAGACCTGTTTGAGGTTGGATGGAGCTCTTGGAATCTAAGCCCCACGCCTGATTTCTCCTGGATGGTTAGGACTTGAGGAGATACCAGACCTATAAAATGGGCTTTTGTGAACCTCGAAATGAGCCTTGGGAGGCCTTTAGGACCAAGAGGAGCCATCTCTTCCTTGAGTCTTAGAGTCCCCAGCGGTGGCCCCGCCCCCAGCCTCTGTAGCCCTCACATTCCGGGACACCAGCCCTGGGCTACTTGACAGATACAATCACCCGGTCTGCCTGGGGCAAATTTGGCGGCCACTTTCAGGCAGGGCAGTTTCCTCTCCCACCTCCTCCTCCTTGCCATCCTCCCCCGGAGTCCCTGGCTGCTGTCTCCTGCACGCGTGTGGCCAGGCTTGGCAAGCCGAGAAGGACCCCCTGGGAGGCTCTGCGCCCAGCCCGCCCAGCCCTCCTGCCCGGAACACTCTGCTGGAGTCTGCCAGCACCCCTTCTTTTTGTTGGGACCTGAGGGCCGGGCTCCGCCCCTTCGCTCAGATCCGGAGCTCCATGCCACCCGGGGCCATCGCCATAGCCACCCAGCTAGCACTAGTCCGGCACTCTAGTACTAGCTGAGCAACGGGGGGCGTGGGCCGCGACCACGGGGCAGGGAGCAAGGGGGGATTGGGTGAGGGGAGGAGGGGCACGGAGGAAAACGGAGCGGGTCAGCAGAGAAGTCAAGGAACTAAGGAGCAAAGGCTGGCGCCGCACCGCCCAGCTCTCCTCAGGCTTGCTCGCTCTGGAGACTTGCGGGCTGCCTCCTGGGCTCATCCGCCGGGTCACCTTGTCCCGGAGGTAAGTCCCACAGCCGCGGCAGCGCTGGTGGAGGAGGGGTCAATGTGGCGGGGGCTGCGGGCAAACGGCTAGCACCAGAGGCGGGCCCTGCGAGGGAGGGATTCCTGGCTCCGCCTCGGAGCCCGCAAACTACACTGTGGGGGCGCGGTGAGTCCGGGTGGTCGCAGTGGCAGGACTCGTGAGGCGCTTAGCAGCCAAAAGGAGAAAACAGAGCAGGCGAGCAAGATGAGGTGGAAGGGGCTGGGTGTTGTCAGCTCTGACTGCAGCTCGGTGCCTCGCCATCCTAGGCGTCCAGGAGATGCGGAGGGGCTGTTGTGCAAAGTCGGTGGGAGCTACTGAACACAAGACCTGGCAGCCCAATGAAGCGGGGCTGCCCCGGCTGTCAAGGCCCGGGGTGTTCGTAGGCAGGTTTGGAGATGCCCTAGAACGGCCCAAAGGATACTGGCTGGGGCTGGGGAGTGGAAAGCTGGGGAGCCGAGGACCAAGCAAGGTCCATGTGGCACTATAAAGGAAAGAGGCCTTTGATTCACAGAGCGGAGTTGGGGAAGGCGGCGAGGGTTCAAGTGCGTTCTGTTTGGAATATCCCAACAGGCTCCCTGAACGGAGGCGGGGACTCCTGGAGCCCTTCTCAGTGGAAAAGAGCAAGACAGGCATTTGAGCTGTCTGCTCCCTGGCAGCTGCGACAGTCTGCAGTCCTGATAGTCACCAGCCCAGGAGCGGAGAGGGAAGCGAGTGGATGCACCTCTTGGGTTCAAGTTCTAGTATCGATTTCCCTAGGTATAATTTTTGCCTCTTCGCGTACACTTTCCAAGCACCAGAGAGAGGAATGGATTACCGGCAGAACTGGGCACTCTCCTTAAGAAAGGGGCTTTGATCTCTGTGTTTCTTTTCAAAGATCCCAGTAGAGCTAGCGATCGCAGCCCTGCTTTGAGGAGGCTGCCAGTGTAACAGCTCGGCTTTTCTGAAGGACTAGAATTAGGGCTCCTCTGATCGCATTTCATTTTCATCCGCTTGTACGCAGAGGTTTGGATTCCTGGCACCCAGACTTCAGGTGTGAGCAGCCCTTCTGCGACGTCAGTCAGATGCGCTGGCGCATCCAGGCCACTGGCCCGCACTCGATACTTGCGCCTTTCCTGGCCACGTTCCGGTTTATTGCAGCAAACACTGGCCGAGGGCTTGACTGAATTGGGGATTAGGGGGTGCATGACTCCGTTTTCTACTTAGAATCGGGCTCAGTGGTTGGGAAAGTGCGCGTGTGTTTGTATATCTATCCCCTCCGCTCCTACTGTTTGGCCAAAGCCCAAAGAGAGACATGCTGCGGAGACCTGCAGCTTGTAGGGTTAGCATCTTAGTAACAAACCGCAAAGAACGAGCCAACTTTTCCTTGCTGAGTGCGATTGCCTGGGCAAAGTCGAGTAGGTGCATGAATGTGATCTTGCCAGAGGGGTCTGACTCCGGAAATTCTCACAGCAGCCAAAGTGAAAGTGAGCCTCCATGGCAGCCAGGGGCAGTCTGATGTTTATTCTGGCTAGGACAGGAAGTAGCTGGAGCTGAATTTTCGGATGAATTATTGCATGCTGTGTGTCTTGCAGTTGTGTGGAATTTCTTTCTGGAGATGAGACCAAGGTACATGGCCTGTGGGATGTGTGAGAAAGAGCTCTTTCTCCCTTTCTCCAAACGCCTCTGGCACCTTTGCAAGAAGCAAATGTTGATTTGTAGCTGATCTAGGGCCCTCACCCACCAAGCCTCCACCTACTGCATGGAAAGGGCATAGTCATAATCAAGAGGCCTTGTTAAATAAAGCAAAAATATGAGAAATCTGTTTCAAGGTTGTTGTTTTTTTTTAACGGAAAACTTCAACGCTACACAAAGGTGGAGGTAATGGTACATTGAACTTCCAGTACTCCCCTCATCCCACTACCAAATTCATTAACATTTTGCCCTTTTCCCTTGTTTATGGCCCTTTCTGAGAGTTGTGGAGGCCATGTTTGATGAAGGATTTCATATTCCATTGCAAGCTTATTTCACCATCAAATGCATCTTCATGTATCTTCAGCTGATAATGTTTCATTTTTATCTAACAGAAATGACTGCATGCCTGATTGAAATGATTCCTTTAGAACATAGGTGATATTAAAATAAAAATGAAGGTAGACCCCGCCCCTTTACATTTTGGCATTGAAAAAGAACAAATGCAAACATTCCTTGAGGCATGAAGAGGGGAACTGAAAGAAGGGGAAATCTAGATCCTGAGAAAAATTGACATTTGAAACAATATAGATTTGACATGCACCTTTTGATGTGCAGTGGATACACAAGAATCTAGTTGAAACATCATGGGCAAAATTACCATTTTTTGGTAAAAACTTTAAAAATAATTTCATAATAATAAGCAATCAATTTCTTCCATATTTAATATGACATATTAGTGATACTCTGGACTCAATTCACTTTTCTCATTAAATCTCTTCCCCCCACTCCCTGGGAATTACTATAAGAGAATAAAAAGATATGTTCTTATGTAAGTTTTCTATCAAAGACACTTGTCAGTGCTATTCTGAGGTTCATGAAGAACAACAGTCTGTTGTTCTTTCAGATAGGTTTCAGTAAATATTTCATCTCTCAATAGGAAAACATTTGGTCATCACACTGGTCACCTTACCCTCTGGAGAGACTCTACTCACTCAAATTTGATTTCAAATGTAGTTTTTGTTGGCTGGAAAATAGCATGGAGAAGGCCTCCAGAGACAGTGATAAGGTGGCCCCTATACTCACACACCTACATGGCCCCCTTTCACCCTGAATACCTCTGCACCTTCATTTATATAAAAGCTGTTTCTAAAAATTGTCTATGATGTTTGTGGAGGATTCAGCCAGACTTCTGGATGCCATTATAAGGTGCACTATTTAAAGGCATCCTTACCTAACCTTTTGTAATATGAATAACCATCCTATTATTTAGCACTTTTATGTCTTCCTTTCTCTAAATAAAAACCTTATCTTTCCATGACACCAGCATGTCCCTGAGCCCCTCACTTTTTCCTTTGTAGGGTCCCCATGCACATTGGAGATTCTCATGTCTAACATGAACAAATCGTGACCTGTAGTTTGAACAGATTTTAATTTACAAATAAAATTCTTTCAATGAGTGGGAGAAAGTGTCAAAGATTGAGAGATGAGGTGTTCATTTGCCAGCAGCAGCAAAGTGGTGAGACAGAGTATCAAAACAGTCTGTTGTTCTTTCAGTGGAAAGTCACAAGGCCCTTTTGTGGGAACATGATGATATGAAGTGATATTACACTAGCATATTATACTGCAAACATTGGGTCAATGTGTCAAAAAAGCAAAACATTAAAGATATTCAAACATTAACTATTCAAAACATTAAAGATAGTCTGACCAAGTTCCTGTCCGTGTCACCAGAATTGGAATGTTGTAGTAGGTGGTTTTAACAAATGTGATTGTTCAACATTGTCTGTGCAATATATATAGACATTTCAAATTACTCCTGAGAGTTCATAAACACGTGTTTTAAAGAAAAGCTGCAATAACTTTCAAGCACCAGGCTACAATTCAAGTGCCTTTGTTGTCCTTTCAGGCAATACACTAGATTTTAGCTGTGGGTTGGGGAAAGTAGTGGGGAAGAGACATTTGTGATTTTCCCATGTCTATGGCTGCCTGCTCCTTCTCCCCATGGTATTTTCTAAAGTGCCTGTGCAAGATAGGTTTCAGTTCTCAGCTCTGCTGCTTGCTTGTTGAATGATCTTAGATGACTTAACTTTTCTGAGATTGTTTCTTTTTTATTTTGCTTCCTAAAATTTATTTTATTTTATTTTATTTTTATTTCATCTGTATTGTATTTTTTCCCATTACTATTTCATCCCCTTATATCCTCCTCCTCCAAGCAATCTCTTTTCATCCATACTCATTCCAAGATTTAAAAAAAAAACTATAGCTGTCACAGTTTTTTAAATTAGGGAAGACTGTGAATTGAGAAATTTTAGTACATCTTAACGGAATGTTTGCTTTGCATCCTTATGGCTCTCTGAGAACAGAAAATAAATCAGCTCAGTCTCTTCATTGTACCTGTATCCTACAACTCCTTGTTGTCAAGAGTCAGAATAAGGACAGTGTGTGCACCTTCATGAAGGTATGCACTGCCTGAGTAGTGTAGACCGTTCATTCCAGCTGGGTTTAGAGGGGATGTAGAAGAAAGGCTTATTTAAGAGCAATAGCTTTAACTCAAGTAATTTTTTTATATGGGGTGTGTGAGTGTGTATCCATCCCATATACATAACTATGCCAACTATAGTATAGAACATACACACACACACACACACACACACACACACACACACACATACACACATATAGTTGTCCTATTGAGTATATAGTGTATATCTATATAGTTGTTTTGTTACAGTTGGTCCAATTATCCCTTTGATCTCCCCTGCCCCCAACACTCTCTCCCACAGTCAGTCCCCACCTAGTTGTCCATGCCAATGGGTCATTTACACCTGTATATTGATTAGACCCTTCCCCATCTTTCCCCCATTATCCTATCCCCCCTCCCCTCTGGTCCCTACCAGTCTGCTCCTTGTTTCCATGCCTTTGGTTCTATTGTGCTTGTTTCTTTATTTTGTTCATTAGGTTCCACCTATAGGTGAGATTATATGTATTAGTCTTTCACTGCCTGGCTTATTTCACTTAGCATAATGCTCTCCAGAGCCATCCATGCTGTCACAAAGGGTAGGAGCTCCTTCTATCTTTCTGCTGCATAGTATTCCATTGTGTAAATGAACCATAGTTTTTTTATCCAATCATTTACTGATTGGCACCTAGGTTGTTTCCAGCACTTGGCTGTTGTAAAATGTGCTGCTATCAACACTGGGGTGCATAGGTCTTTTTAATTGGTGTTTCAGGATTCTTGGGATATAATCTTAGGAGTGGAATTGCTGGGTCAAAAGGCAGATCCATTTTTAGTTTTCTGAGGAAATTCCATACTGTTCTACACAGTGACTGCACCCGTCTGCATTCCCACCAACAGTGTACTAGGGTTTCCTCTTCTCCACAACCTTGCCAGCACTCGTTGTTTGTTGATTTGTTTATGATGGCCATTCTCACCTGTGAAATGGTATCTCATTGTGGTTTGAATTTGTATCTCTCTGATGGCTAGTGATGCTGAGCATTCTTTCATATGTCTATGGACCCTCTGTATGTCCTCCTTGGAGAAGTGTCTGTTCAGGTCATTAGCCCATTTTTTAATTGGGTTCTTTGCCTTCAGAGGGAAGTCCTGTGAGTCCTTTATATATTTTGGAGATCAATCTCTTATCCAGGTATTCCTAAACGGTTGATTCCCTTTTCATTTTATTGCTGTTTTCTTTGGCTGTGAAGAAGACTTTTAACTTGATGTAATCCTATTTGTTTATTCTTTCCTTTATTTTCCTTGCCTTAGAGGATATATAGGCAGAAATACTGCTGCATGGTATATCTGAGATTTTACTGCCTATGTTTTCCTCTAGAACATTTATGGTGTCGTGGCTTATGTTTAAGTGTTTTCTCCACTTTGAATGTATTCTGCTGTATGGTATAAGATATTGGTCTAGTTTCTTTGTTTGTTTGTTTCTTTGTTTGTTTCGTTCTTTGTTTCGTTCTTTGTTTCGTTCTTTGTTTCTTTGTTTCTTTGTTTCTTTGTTTCTTTGTTTCTTTCTTTCTTTCTTTCTTCATTTCTTCATTTCTTCCTTCCTTTCTTTGTTTTTTTCATGTAGCTGTCCAGT